TCAGAACCGTGACTATGACCGTGACTAAACAATTATATAAAACAAACACTTAGCGTTTTTTAAAAAAATCCTAAGCACCCCAGATTTCTCAAACCCTAAACTATCTCTTCCTTCTCTCTTCCTTCTCTTCCAGTTTGGTTAGTGCCGCCGCCCTCGCCGCCTAGCATCCGCCGTTGCCGCCTAGCTTTCCGCCGTCGTCCACAACCAGTCGTCCGCCGTCGTCCGCCGCCTTGTTGCCTCCCCTTCTTTTCTCAGTCAAGGTTATGTGTTCCCTTCATCTTATTTGCTAATATTTGATAAAAAATCCAAAAATGCATGATTGTATACTCAAATGCATGATAGGATACATGATTTTTAGTTTCATATCATTCAGCAATATTCAAAAGTTGTATGTATGATTTATTATATGCATGATTTTTAGTTTCATATCATTTTGTAATCTTCAAAAGTTGTATGTATGATTTATTATATGCATGATTTGTAGTTTTGCATGATAATTTCGTTTTATATGTTTCGTATGCATGATTAATATATGTTCAAATGTAGATTATTTTATGTTTAATATATGTTCATATGCATGAATAATATATTTTCGAACTAATGCGTGCTTATACAATTAGTATCATGTTTAACATATATGTTTAGTGTTTGATTTGCATGCCTCTCTATACATATGCACTACTTTAAATTTAATTTCCGAAAATATTTAATTTAGGTTAATATTTAAAAAAAACTGTTCAAATAAATAGCCCCTCGTGTTAAACTTCCAAAAATAGTTTAACACGTTTAAATATAATTTCCGTAATATCCATTAACAAAATATTAAACATTTAAATTTAATCCCGAAAAAAACTGGACGAAACACTGTTTTTTATAATAGTATAAGCATAAAAAATTATTTTTATTTTTTATATTATAAACTGTTTTTAGATAAACTGTTTTTCCAAAAACTGTTTTTATACAAACTGTTTTTATTTAAACTGTTTATATAATTTATCTAAAAAAATCTGTTTTTATAAAAACTGTTTTTATAAAAACTGTTAATTAAAAACTGTTTTATTAAACAGATTTTTGTAAAAAACAGTTTTTATAAAAACTGTTTTAATAAAAAGTGTTTTTAAAAAAACTGTTTTTATAAAAACTGTGTTTATAAAAACTGTTTTTATACAAACTGTTTTTATAATTAATCTAAAAAAAAATGTTTTTATAAAAAATGTTTTAATAAAAAGTGTTTTTAAAAAAACTGTTTTTATAAAAACTGTGTTTATAAAAACTGTTTTTATACAAACTGTTTTTATAATTAATCTAAAAAAACAGTTTTTATAAAAAATGTTAATAAAAAACTGTTTTATTAAACAGATTTTTGTAAAAAATAGTTTTAATAAAAACTGTTTTAATAAAAACTGTTTTTATACAAACTGATTTAATAATTTATCTAAAAAAACTGTTTTAACAAAAATTGATATATATAAACTGTTTTATATAAAATGTTTTTTATTTTTGATTTTTGTAAAAAACAGTTTTTATAAAAACTGTTTTCATAAAAAGTGTTTTTATAAAAACTGTATTTATAATAACTGTTTTTATAAAAACTGTTTTAATAAAAACTGTTTTAATAACAACTGTTTTAAAAACTCTTTTATTAAAATGATATATCTAAAACATAAATAAATGATCTCCTCTCATGTAAACTTTGCAAAAAGTTTGACATGTTACCTCCAAGGGCAATTTATTGCAAAATTATAGAAGAACTTATTGTGAAAAAATATGGACCCCTCATATTAAACTAATAGATAGTTTAATATGCTATAGAAGAACTTATTATGAAAAAATATGGACCCCTAATATAGAAGAACTTATTATGAAAAAATATGGACCCCTCATGTTACCTCCAAGGGCATTTTTCACTATAATTTTTTATAGTGAAAAATAATAAATTTCCCTATAAAAATTTAATAAACTGTGTATAAGTTTAATATGAGTGGTTCAATAATTTCTTATAAACTCATCCTATAATTTATCAATGAGTTGACCCACTCGATCGAAGAATCGATCAGTTGGAGCTTGTCAATGAGTTGACCTAGTCAATTCTTAGATAAGCTCCAATCTGTGGATTCTTCTGGCTACGGCTTGAGTCATCGATGGACTCTCCCAAACGCATGTACTGACATTATGTCGCTACATGTGATGTAGCCCATCCATGGTTCAAGGCGTAGCCTGAAGAATCGTCAGGATGGAGTTTATCAATGAATCGACTGGGTCAACTCATTGGGGGCCGAGGGGCAACGGATTTTGTATGATCGAAGCACCGGCGCTTCCTCTTCTCGGTCAAGGCGGGGAGAAGATCCTCGTATTGCTACACTGCAGCGTGAACTGGAGGAGCACGAACGGCGATGGGAGGAGCAGCGGAAAGCAGATGAGGCCACAAAAGCCCGGTTGGAGGAGATGGAACGGTACATGCGTGCCGGATTCCAGCCTCCCCAACAGCCCTTTCCTCCCCCGTACGTATTCCACCCTGAGCAAACTCCTCAAGTTTCGCACATGGGCGGTATGGGATTTTTCCCCAACTCCGGATATGGTGGCATGCCTATGATCTCCCCGAATTTCGGATCTATGTCCTTTGATTTTGCGAGGTCATCCGGAGGAGGTAGTGGCACACCGAGCCATGGAGCCCGAGGAGCACCCCGAGGAGGACCCCGAGGAGCACCCCGAGGAGGAACCCGACCTGACCCTGAAGACCCCCCCGTGAACCCAGATGAGTTTCTTGTTGATGATGATGATGAAGAAGAAGAAGAAGAAAATCCTAATTTTTTTCATAATGGAGTCCCACGAAGGGACATGTAATCATCATACATTTGTACTTTGTTGTTTGTCAAAACATTTAAAAGTTTGTCACAATATTTATTAAGTTTGTTGTATGTCTTTACTCTTTAAAATGTAATTTTAAATTTAAAAAATTATGACAATATTTTCAATAATTCAATAGTATAAAAACATGGATAAAAATTAGAATAACATTTTTAAATTTAATTTGTAAAAATACGTATTAAAAAGTAATTTTTAAAAACAACTTTCAAAAAAAAAAATGGAATTTTTTTTTAAAAAAACAAAAATAGTAGTCACGGCCTTATCCGTGACTACTGATAATTCGAAATTATTATTTGCTTTTAATAAAAAACATTATTTTTTTTTTAAAAAAGTTTAGTCACAGTCAACAACCGTGACTAATTTCAAAAATTTAGATTACACCCGCGGGCGGTCTTTTGAAAATTTTGAAAATTTGAAAAATTAGTCACGGCCCACAGCCGTGACTAATATTTATTTTTAAAAAAAAAAATTATAGCCACGGCTTGTGGCCGTGACTAACACGGCAGAGTGGGGTTTCCGGCATTGAAAATAGTCACGGTCCTTGACCGTGACTAATCCGTGACTAAATTTAGTCACGGTTATGTGGCGGTGACTTCATTTAGTCACGCCAATTAAGACACAGATTTAGTCACGGCGGATGACCGTGACTAACCTTTTTAGTCACGGAATTTTTACACTGCAGTCCGTGACTAAATCCGTGACTACGCCCGTGTTTTTTTGTAGTGTATGTAAAAGTAGTCAACTTTTTTAGTTGTTTGGATATAGAAATATTTAACAAGAAATGTCTATTGGAATTATTACTACCTCCGTTCTTAAATCAATGCAACGTGTTGAATTTTACACTATTCATATGTTCTACTATGGCTATGTTTTATTAATTAATGTATTAATATTATTATTTTTTATTGTGTATTAATAATGTTTTGTGAAAAGAATATCGTTAAATTTTTCTCATTGTAAATTTTCAAAATCTGATTTTTTTTATTTTATTGCTAATAGAGAATTATATATTTTAATGATCAAAGTTGTGACTCGACAAATGTAAAAAATTTAATATTGCATTTATCTAAGAACGGAGGAAGTACGTATTATAAGGTGAAATATGTCGACCTTTGAATATTCCGGCCGGGGTCAATTTTCTTCTTTTTCAAATCTTTGGTTTCGATTGAAAGATTTAGTCAAATGTTGGTTGGGACGGTTATAGTGCTCCAAACTAAAGTTTGGCGAGGTTGGTCAATGGTCAGAATCCCACATGTTAACCCATATCTCCCAAACTAGAGCTCAACTATCGACAAAGTCTCAAAAAAATCGATATCATTTTGATCAGAATCCACAAATATAATTTTTCGTTAAAGTTTAAGAAGTGTTTGAACTGTTAAAGGATTGATTATCCTGCCAAATGCTTTGTTTATGCATTATCGTCCTGTTTTACATAAATTAAGGGTATGTTTGGGAGTTTGAAGGGAAGGAGAGGGAAAGGTTTTGAAGGTTAGTCATCGGAGGGGAAGAGAAAGGAGAGACGGGGTCGAAAACTCCTCTTCTTGTTTGGTAGTATCAAGTTTGAAAACATAAAGATTTTGGATAAATTATAATTAAAATCACTTCACATATATGATGAATTCAAATAATTAAGTTTATTATATTTATTATTTAAAATTGAACTAAAGTTGTCATTTAATTAGTTATCCTTCAAAATCATTCAATTTGGGGGAACTTGAAAATTGAGCATTTGAAGGGTTTAGAGAGCTACAAAAGCCCTCCAAAACATCCCTCCATATCTTTTAACTCCCAAACATGAAAGGAAATGTCATAAACTCTTGTCAACCATCCCGTTCCCTCCAAAATTCAGCTCCCAAACATACCCTAAAAGTCAAATTGTGAAAGCAATGTTGAATGTGGCAAAAAAATGAACAAATAGAAAAGTCTAAAAATAGGAAAAGTTGAAAAACTAAATAAAATGAAAAGTGAAGTTGAGCGACTAAAAGTGAAAAGGAACTTGGAAAAATGTCAAACCAATTAATTAAGGGCTATATTTGAAGGCATGCTGAGTCATGCATCAAACAACTTTAAGTACAGTTAATTAGATTATAAGTTGGCCAACCAAACTTACCAATCTGTGTTTAATTCAATTTGTTCTTTTCCTCATAAACAAGGTATTTAAATCCCCAAACCCCTCCTGCTTTTCCCTCCTTACTCAACAGACATTCTTTCCTTAATCATAATTAAACACCCATCAGCATCACATCATTAGACTTAAAACCATTCCTGAGACTTTTCTCTTTAGTGATCTAAGAGAATGGCTTCTTCCAAAGTCTATGAAATAGTTCTGGCCATGGTCATCCTCACATCCATGCTATGGAACAGCGCATCTGCTCAATCAAACTGCATTACCACAATATTGAGCTTGTCACCGTGCCTGAATTATATCACAGGCAATTCGTCGGCCCCGTCCTCGTCATGCTGCTCGCAGCTCTCTAGCGTTGTCGCATCAAGCCCGCAGTGCCTTTGCTCGTTGCTTAACGGCGGGGGTTCGAGTTACGGGATCAACATTAATCAAACTCTTGCCACCAGCATGCCTGGTGCCTGCAAACTTAAAACTCCTCCTTTGAGCAGTTGCAATGGTAGGTTTACAGATTTATACTCCGTACTAATTTATTATCATGTATGTAATTCATTTATACATCAACGCGCATTGTAAATTATCTCCCATATCTGACTAAAGGGGTTTCAAGTTTCAACAAGTCGAGCAGCATCTGAAACATTTCGGGCTCGAAGTCACCTCGACTCACTTATCCTTATGTTCGGTTTCGAGCTCAAAACTCAACAAGTTAACAATATGAGCTTCTATCTAGTTTGATTCTTAAGGTGTTCGGTTTTAGCAAGTTAAGAAGCTCGATTAAAATGTTTGAACTTAGATAAATAGCTCAAATGGTTTATGATGATACTTGTGAAGTACAGAGTATAACATCATACTAAACTTCTTATAAAATTCATCCGTAATAAACGCATGAATAAATAGGGGTTGTACTCTTGGAATAAACACATGAATAAATAAATATTCCAATTTTAAATTAGGGTTGTACTTTTGGAACTGAAACCCGTTAAGCTCAAAATCAAGCTAGAGCTTCCATTTTATAGGGTAAGTTTGTGATGACCGTATTATAATTGAAACAGGTGGGAGCGGGCGACCAACTGCTTCAGCTGCAGTATCACCACCACCAAGTTCTCCAGTGGGTTCTGGAGCGCCACCGAGCACAGAAACGCCCACAACACCATCAGGATCCGCCACACCAACATCAGGTATCTTATAGATTCAGTCAACATTTCCTCAAATGCCTGATTTTTTTTTTGAATTTCAGCTAATTCAGAATGTCTAACACTCATAATGAAACAGGATCAAACGCAATTCCATCCCCAACTGATTCCGCATCGGCTGGTAGCCATGTGGCAGTTCCATTCAATATTCAAAGCGTCTACCTCTTCGCAGCAGGCAGCATCCTGGGCACTTTTTTCTGCTAGATCATTTTCTATTTAAGCTTTCTCCTGTCCACTGCATTAGTGGTTTGTTTTGTCATTTGATATTGTTTTCCTTTACTTTTCTTTTTGTTTCTTTTGTTTGTAGACTTTGTACTGATGATTGAATTGATTACGTCTCTATTGTTATTCTTTTACCATTGTAAGTGTCTGGTCTTACAAAATATGTTTACTCCATCATTCTACATTCATTAAATAAGTTATACTAGGCAATGTAGACCCAATTTTACTGAATATTATGATTATCTTCTTTTTATTTTTTTGTGCAACGGAAAGAATTGTCATCATCCCTAAAGGCCTAAATACACTAAAAACGCAGCTACATTGCATCAGTGAGACCAACTATATAAGTTACGAAAACATAGTACCTTTGAAGCCTGAACGGATAATGCAAAAATAGGAAACATGAAATTCAGGAAATACATTCTTATTAATTTGAATGACATTCAAAAGTAGATCAGTTTATGCTAGAATCTAGATGTTCTCAAAAAATCAAATCCAAATTAAAAATTGTGGTTCCGAAAAGGTTCACCAACTTTGACTTTCACGTGGATTAATAAAATAAAAACTGTATGGTTGAAATTTGTACAGAGGTGAGAGAATTAACTTTAACCACATATTCCTTACTTTAAATGGAAATGATAAATCTTTTTGGGACATCCACAAAAAGAAATTTGGCAAACTTTTTCGGGACGGAGGGAGTATAATTTTTCATATATAATCATAGATTAAAAAAAGTAAGCAGAGATGCTGTTTAGGCAGTTAGGAAATACAGCTAAAGTTCAGTTATGATCCTATTTTGGAGGTAATAAAACCGTTTGTTTTAAAGAGTTAAAAGAGGTGAAGCACAAAGTTAACCTCACCTTCATTGTCGCCCAAGCCAATCAAAACAATGACATCCAACCCGACACCCCAAATCCTTTAAATCACAAGGCATCGTAATAATAGAAATGGATGCTGAGAATGGTGATTAGCAAAACAATTGTTAATAAGCTCATAACATAAACAGGGCATGATATATCTAACCCCATGCATTGCCCATTTATCCTTTAAAAACGCATCACCACAAATCTGCTACTTATAGCCTGATAACAGAATCCAAATATGTCTAATGATTCGTTTGAAAAGCTCGAATGATGATTGAATGGCAAGATACCCAAAACGTGTTCCAAAAAGAAAAGAAAAAACCAAAACATGACAAGTGTGACGGTGATCACTTCTTCTTTCCGGCCTTTGCTGCATCTCCGGCCTTTGTCTGAATATGAAGTAATAATACTATTAGCTCTAGCATAATGGGCAGAGAAGATTTCAAAGCCATAAAAAAGCTAGAAACTTAACAATTGGTAATACAACTTGTTCCACATATAATATAAGGTGCCATACCTTCTTCACACCTCGTATTTTCTTGGACCGGTTCTTCCTCTCCTTCATTTGTTTTCTGGATTTCTCAACCTTGGTATCCAGCCCATTCTGCAAAATTGATTGAATAGTTTGTCAATATCAAAGGTTGAGAGGCACGGATAAGGACATTAAGGGTACGGTATGGTATGTTCTGGAGGGTAAAGAGGGGTTATTTTTCATTCTATAGGGTGATTTACTCTTTTTAACTTTTAAAAGTACAAGATGTAAAACAATAAATTTTTTTCATTCAAGATACCTTAAGTTTGAGTACATTCTTAAAAACAATTTTCTTGTGTGTACTAAAATAAATTTTTAATTGATACTAATTGCTAAACAATAGGTTGCTCATCAAATTCAAATTCACCAAGTACACCACCATACATTATGGGTATCCAAACAGTATATATACCTCACTTTCAAAATCAATAAAGAGCTTTTATTAAAAAAAATCCACGGCTGGTGTCTTAACCACCTACATTTTTTAAATTACCCCAACCCCCCTCTTATCTGTCTATCTATATCTAAACACGCCACAGTAAAAGACGTCAGGTCCCATTTTGTATTATACCTATTTCATGGTTAGAACATTTGCCCAATGAATTACTACCTCTGTCCCACAAAAGTTTCCCAAATTGACTTTCTTCGTCAATGATGGTAAAGTTTGTACCACGATTTTAATTATTATACTTGTATGTAATTCATAAATTTTATACTTCTATGAAAATATTTTTAATGAAGAACATTTAAATATAATTTTCATATTTCAAATAACTTTGTATTAAATAATAGCATTAGTCAAATTTGACTATCAGCCTATCATTATTTATATCTCAATACCAGTCTACATAAGCAAATACAGTGGAAGCCAGAAAAGGCAACATTTATATGGGCATGCAGCAAGGCAAGAATTATTTGTAAAAACTGTAAGCCATCATTCAGCAGATGCTTTACAGAGAGGCTTACACCTAATACATATTGGGGACTGTTGTCAATCCCAGATAGCGGAGCATAGCGGCCAGTCCCAAAAACGCTATAGCGGTATAGCAGAGAGCGGGATGACCGCTATTTAGACTACTTTCAAATATAAGAGAAGTAACTACTGGAAGCATATATATAATACATTACATACACATTTTGAATTCAAAAAAGTACGGAGTATGATATACGGGCATACGGCAAAAAAGGTTGCAAACGTCTTAAGTCTTAACATTCATAAATCCTAAATTACTTAGAAATACTCTTTAGTTTCATGAGCAAAACCTAAGATGCTATTAATGATTAAAACATTTTATGTCAAAACATTGAATCAAAAACAAGGTTTTGGTTTAAGAGTTTAAGCCTTGATAAATTAACAGTCAAAAAATTTAGATCCGACTTGCTCTAGTAATTCCTCCAGTAGTAGTATTGCCACAAAAATCACAGGTAACAGTCTTCTTGTCTTTTGCATCTTCTAAACTGTTCCACTTTCAAGCTGGGTCAAGGACTCAAGGTGGTCTCCTGTGGGGGCATAAACATGACAGTAGACTCCATACGAGATAATAAAGAACTTTGTTGGACAAGATGTATAATGACAAGAAAAGAAGACTGCAGCAAAGGTTGATCTTCTTGTAGAAGATGTTGCAGCAGAAGTAGAAGAATGAAAGAAGATGAAGCAGCAGATTCTACCAGTGGAAACAAGCGAAGGGGAGTGCAAAGGTTGTCGTTCTTGAAGGAGATGTCATCGCAGAGCAGAAAGATTTCATCACAGAGCAGAAAGAATGAGATACAAAGTATTTTCAAACAATGGGGCCGTTTGTAAGCATTTTCACTTCTACGCATGTGTAGAAGGGTTTTAACTGGTTAATATTTTATTTTAAAAGACGAATTTACCTTCCAGTAAAAAATAGTTATACGCAGATAACCTAGCAGGACTTAGATTCCAAACATGTGCCGCTATAGCGTCTTCCTTCACCAGAATAGCATGGCCGAAATATATCCGCAACACTCAAATGTGACGCTACATGTCGGCTGGTAGCGCCAGCCTAGTCCTCTACTCCGCAGCAACGCTATAGCGCACGATAGCGCCGCTATTAACATCACTGATTAGGGATTCTTTGGACATTAGGCCGAGGGGCGTAGACCCCCCTGTGGAGTGCCACAAAGGAGAGGTCTCGAGTTCAACTCCAAACAAAGACTTGGGCTAAATCTCACTCTCTTTTCACCAATGTGTGATTAAAGTTCAATTTACATCCTCCCACATGCTTGTCTGACCGGTTCTAGGGTCCCTCAGGTATGGAGTGTCATCCTTTTAGGGATTCTTTAGACATAAACTTCATATTAATGATTGTGTTCATTGTAATGTTGTTCTAAAGTTAAAGCCAGCTCATGTTCATGTTGTGGTTACTAAATTTCAATCACTTCATTGAGAAATCCCACAAGAAAACCATACACCAATACACTCAAAATATCTTATCTTATACTCCCTCTGTCCCGCTAATATTGTCCCATTTTACCTTTTTAGGAAATCCCACTAAAATTGTCTCATACTCCGTACCAAATTTGAAAAAGTTTGTGTGGCATTAACTCATTCTTACTTTATTCATACTATATCAATTAATATAAGCCAAATAAACCCACTTTTCTTAATAACCGTGTCACACCCTCCTTCCCAATATTAGTGGGAAGGAGGTAGTACTGCGTATCTTATTTATTTTCCAAACATGAATGATACTTGCCTGCTAAATAAGAACAGGCCACTAGCCATGCAAGAATTCTAAACATGCCAAACTGCTATGACGCTACTGCCTTGCTTCACCATTTAAAGCCACTAGTCATTGAAACATCCTTTATAATTTCTTGTAGACAACTACAAGAACAGCATGTGTTGCAATCAGCAACAGAGTATTACTTAACCTGTTCATTACTGTGGTTATATTCAATATTCATTTCACCAAAAATATTGAGGCTCCCTTAAATATGACAGAACAAAAAATGACAATAAACTACCCCTATCCACACATATTCACCTAAAAACTAAAACTCATGAATTCACTAGCCACCCTGTCCACGCGCCAGCCACATGTTGAGCCCTGCAGCAGTCAATGTCCAACATTGTCACCATCAATGTCCTGCACGTCACCCCCTATAATGCCAAATGTGGCAATTTTCTCTTCCTAACAATGTCCAGTGCACCTCATAGCCTTGAGTCTCCAACGTCTAACATTTGCCCCAGATTAAATGTCTAAATGCAGTTAATGTCTAACAACACTGCATTCAATGATCTTTACACCATGGGGTCCATGGCTGGATTTGTTGAACAAGACCATGGCTGCCAGGGAATCAAATGGCCCTTATCACCAATTGACCAATGACATTAAAACTAGAGGTGTGTGGTAGAACCATAAAATCTGGAATCCTAGGGCTTCACAGTCTGCTTCAATAGACAGATGTAAATGGATTGATGGTGCTCGAGTCAAAAGGTATGGCGGCTCTTAGAAACATTATCATTGAGTGAAGAAGTGTTAGAAGGAGCTCAGAGTCAAGGTCGAAATGGAATATAAAAAGGTTATATGTTCTGTTACAAAATTGGAGTTATTACTCATAATAATTGTATGTTAGAACAGCTCAGTAAATTGCAATAATTTACTCAGTAGCTAAATTCAGCCTTCCTTATGTAAAAGACTAAATGAATGTTCTATTGTGAAAAACAATTTGGTCACCATACTTGGAAAATGTAGTTATGTTTTAGGTAAACTGTGCACCCTACAAGCTTTAATATTAGTCCACAAGAAACATAAATGCACAAATCAAAAAAGCAAATGAAACTCTGGTAAGTATAATAAGATAGGAAAAATAAAAAA